ACCAGGCAAAGCTTCAATAAGTGTAGCAAACAGAGCCCTCAGCTGGTTTAGAATTTCAAGCCAAACAGTCTTGTTATCAATATCCATCAAGTGAAGGGTATGATAAAGATGCATAAGAAAAAAATCAGTGTCATAATTTTGAACATTAACACTTTCTTCTGCAACTGCAGATAAAGCCATTGTGCTTTGCAACCCATTTTCTAATATTTTGGTATAATGCTGATGAACATCATACAATTTTGCAAGATTTTTATGCAAGCTTTCACATAACTTCTTTTCTATTTTAACAAGTCGCCTTCCATATGCTTCTAAAGCTAATGCATATGTTCTAAGATGTAGTTCCTATTCAATATCAGTAGAAACCTTATAGTCGTTATAGAAAACATTAGTTCCAATTGTTTGCAAAGCATTTCTCAATTGACTATCCTTTAGCTTAGTCCCAAATGATAACAACAAGTTGGACAATTTAATAAAATAATCTGCCCTGTTATCTTCATTGACAACCAATTTTAAAGTTGTAGTTAATTGCTCATTTAATTCCACATTGCCCAAGTTCGCAGGAAACATTTGTCCATAATCGTCTTCACCATTGTCATCATTGTCACTATCACTGTCACTGTCAAAGTCAATGAGGTCTCCCACAAGCCCATCTTCAGTCTCTATCTCCTCATCATCAAGTTGCTTGCCTTTCCCCTTGTTCTTGGTATTAGACTGTTCAAATTCCTAATAAATATTAATAGAATAATCATTTGTTTTATAATAATGAAAGGTGTATTCGATAAGATTTTCGACGTTAAAGCATGCAACTAGCTTATACAGTTTTATATTCATACCCAGGTGTCTGTTAACTCCGAACATCGATTATCCATACTTGACATTTTACTTAAATGTAACTAGTCTGAAATTAAAATGTTTGTTGCTCTTTTAGCGATTCAACGACAGTTTCTGAGCAAAGCCAGGTTATGACCACTGCGTCAATTCCATATCATCGAACAAATTACTGTGTGGCACGTTGCAAATACTGCATATGACCATGTGCAAGGTTATCTCTGCATTGTACCAGTGATTAAATTTACCCCTGACTAGCGTTCCAATGGCGCAGACAATAATTGTTGAAGCTACTTGAATAGTAATATATATTCAACATTTACTTCATCGAAATTTCACGTTATTATTAATTTTTTTCGAAAGCACAATAAAGACGTTCGAGGAAAGATATTTTTCACAGTAATTTTATACTTTTGGTGAATAGTGTTTTATCGTAATAACATTAATATTAAATTTGTATCTTTAGCATTCTTCTTCACATTATGCTTATACGGCAGGTGTGATCGAAAAGTACATCGCGTAGAACATACGAGAAAGGTTAATTGCGATAATTATCATGCCAGTAAATGCGCAATAATGCTACAAGTCGGTCTTAATATTAAATGGTAGCGCTATACAGCTAATCTGTGTGCAACATACAAAGCTGAAAGCTGATTTGCCCCAAGATCACGTTACCGTAACTTTGTCTGGTGCTCTTGCTTAAGTTATACAGTGCTAATTGTGATGACAACAGACAGTATTCGCCCAATTGATATTTCGTATAATTTACTCTCACGAGTGGATGGGAGCGCAAAATTTAGCGCTGGTAAATACTCATGAATTTCTCTAAATGGTAGAGAGCCATTCATTAACAAATTAGGTATTTATTCTATCAAGGTAATTCTACAGTCTTGTGCTCGGTGACTGGCCCGGCAGATGTTAGAATACGAGACGAAAAATTAGACAAGGCAACTTTAGATGTGATAGTAAGACCCGCCGTTGGAGTAACAGGTATTGACATACTGAAACATCAAGTCCGTCATCTTGTATCTGATGGTAACCTCACAAGCCGATTTGCTTAGCCACTAAGGAGACATCACTCGCATATATGCTTCGCACAACATTTGAGACTGTCATTCTCTTATCTCATCATCCGCGCACACAGATTCAAGTTGTGGCGCAGATAATAAGTGACGATGGAAGTGTAAGTTTCGTGTTGATATCGCAAATGAAATGAACCTCTTTTTTTTTTGTTTGTTGTTTCGAGTCTCTCATGACAGTATCTTTTGATCAGATCATATCACATTTGATAAATGCAACTACTATGGCTTTGCTCGACGCGGGCATTCCAATGAAGGCTGTGGTTGTTGGTGTCGGTTGTCTTGTCGACGATAAGGGAAAGATATCGATCGACCCTACCGCCGATGAAGTTGAAGTACGACAATCATGAACAATTAATTAATAATTAAAGTTACATTCGGGCAAATTCTAAGAAAACGTATTATTTGTAGAAAGCTGTCTCGACGCATAACTTTGCCTTTGATAGTGTGTCATTGGCAGTTTTATACTCTGAATCAACTGGAGTATTTACTGAGGAGCAAGTAAAGTCGGATACACATGATTTTGTGTTAAGAGTAAAGACTTTTCTGATATGGCTAATATAATTCTTTTCAATTGCATAGTATTTTCAATGCTTTGAGGCATGCAAATCTTGCGCAGAACAGCTTCATAACACTATACGGAAATCGGTACAAGCAAGAATTGATTATGAAAACCCACAACAATAAAACTCAATTGTATCTAGTCCAAGAATGCTTTATCCACCTGCAATCTGTACTGTGCATTAACATTCTTAGAATAAATCAAACTAAAATAAGGTTTGTATTAGGTTTTAGGAAAAGCGGATTTAAGCCAAGTTTGAAAGTATATAAAAAATTCCCATCAGTTTATTTAGAAACGGTTTGTTTAAACTACCAATTATTTGTATTATTACTAACAACCATCCAGTCCGTCAAACACTTAATTAACGAAGAGAATGCGAATCACCGTCCCACACGTTTTATATTTGCGCATTCTGTGACAGTCTCTGTATAGGTGATTATAACATCCAAGTAATCTAACACTAATCGAACTGTTAGAAAAGACGGCACGTCATAAGGCTAACGCAATTTGGCTTTGCGTTATGTTTAACCACATCATCCACGAACAATTGCACACACAAATCCGAAATTCATATCAATATGCTCTTTATAAAAAAAATAAACATCGACTTACCTCTTAATAGTCCACATGCATCACCATAACCCGCATATCTCTTTGTACACAAATCTACATTAAAAAAATTTCCGTCAGATTTGTATAACGTTCAGTCTTTGCGTAACATAATTGATTCAGAAGAAGCAAACATACAAAAGATTTCATTGCCCATACGTAGAGATTCATGTCCACCCGACCTTTTATTGAGTGGGTAAAACGTATACTGACTGAATCTAATATTCAGTTTTGTTGAAGAATTGGAAAAAAAAAAATCAGCTAATGATCTTTTATAGTTAAACAAGAAATGTAACTCCCCATCCCCTCCCCCCCCCTTATTTTCGCACGGAAAATTAAAAAAAAAAAATTACTATAATCAACAGTAATTAACATAGTTCCGTACAATTTTTTTTTCTCGTCCTGCTCACCTTATGCGCTTCTCAATGTAGCTGAGGACTTAACAGAGAAGCGATCACAATTTTCCTATTATATCTTTACTAATTTGCAAGGTGACATGCCGATTATAATTGATTTTCCAAAGCACGTAATTTCATCTGTATGTAGGATGTTGTAAAGGATAACTCGATGCAGTTAACCATATTAACTCGGAAAAGCAAATAATATTTTGTACTGATAGACTTTCCCTCCAGCAAATTGATCAATTGTTGTTACAAGAAAGGATTTGAAAATGACCAAGCGAGGAAATATAATAATAGTGTGTTACTGGTCTTACTGCTAAATCCGTTATTGCCCCCCCACTGCCACTTGACTTTCTCGTTGCCTATAATCACTCCCCACCACCTACACTACTGTCATTCATAACACCAGACCCGCCAAATATTAGGGGAAAGTCTGACAAATCAGTCAAGAAAGTATGTTAACACTTACGTGATTGACGATCGGTAATAGTCACATGAATAAGGACTGGTGTGTGTGTATAAGAGAACTGTGGAGTCGTCAACCGACTCTTTATTCCCTGTAGCAAACCACAAATTCTCAACCGTATAAGACAAGCATTTATTGTTTCTATCTATCTCAGCAACCCCACAAACTTGCAAAAGATGCTGCAAATATTATTCTATTTATCAATTGCGTGTGCCAAATCGTGAAGTGAAATGAAATAAGAAAGAAAGAAAGAAAAAAGAAGAGAAAGAAAAAAGAAATTATATACAAATTAAAATTTTAACCAAACGCTTCCTTCACATCTCCTGTCATCATTCCTCCTTGGCTTTACCCTTAGCTTTGCTTTGTTTTGCAATTAGAGCTTCAAAGTATGATGTAACGAAATTGCTTAGTTTCCTGCGCAGATAATCATTCAGCACAAACTTAGCTTGTGTCGAACGTTTCGATTTCTTATCCTCTTCATTTATGCTTCTAAGCTCTTTCTCTACAGCCTTATCAGCACACTAAAATATCAGTAAACGTATCATTAGAACATGTAGCACATACTAAATTTGAACTATTAAAAACTGTCAAACAATCCCATCGTAAGCCTCCCCCAATTTTCTCACCTTCTTACACTGCGAAGCATAGAGCTCCACTGACAGCTGATTCTCAAATTTCTTCGCATTTTCAGTGACATATTTCCTATATTCATCTCTAAACGCCTCAGTGGTATCGAACGTTATCACGTTTTTACTCTTCATTGCTTCGTAATTTGCCGCCTTTTCTTTTCTTGCCATCTTAATTCTTTTGGCCTCGGCCGCAGCACGGGCTTCTTTGGCACGTTTCTCCTCAGCTGCTGCCTTTTCTGCTTCTTCTTTTGCGGCCTTGGCTGCAGCCGCCTCAGCAGCCTCGCGAGCTGCTTTTTCTTCTACTTGACGTTGACGATAGAGCGATTCTTCGATTTTAGCATTTACTAATCCTTGGGGAATACCTTCAGGCGTCTTGAACGTCGTATCAATCATGGCCTTGATCTTCTGACTCGTTCGTTCTCCAGTGAATTTATTAACCCAACTTATTTTACCATTATCGTCCTTGCTTTCGGTCCAATTGGGGTTGCGCATCCATTGTGGAGCAGGAAAGTCGTCGCTTTGCGGAGATGGATGACTAGGTGGCGGAGGAGGTGGTGGGGGTGGAGTTTTTGTGGGTGATTCCACGCCGTTGCGGGAATCATTTGGCGGTGAACGGCGATACGGATCAAAACGACGACTGCTACGATCCACCGTGCTCGAATGGGGTGAACGGTACTGTGAATAACTCGATCTAGACCCTTCGTAAAAATCGCGGGACGATTCATATTTCGGTCGTTCCGATTCTTTCTTCATAGGAGAATTAGCTTCTGAAGATGAGTTACCGCGATCGTTGTCATCCTTTTGAGGTGAGTACCTTTTTGGCCGCCATGAATCATGAAGCGATCGAACGTCGTAGTCTTTCCTCGGACTAGGAGACGGATTGGAATAATACCCACTACGACTATCGTCTGGATTACGAGCGTCGTGGCGATGGCGGTGAGAACGATATGAATCAGATGTATCATGCCCGTTTTTACGGTAACCACCTGAGGATGCTGTCAACAGAGATGAATCTTGTCTGCTGGTGTTTGTATGTGAATTAAGAGACGTATTACGATCGTCTTTATAAATAGGGGAGTTTTTGGAAGAAGATGGACTACGTTTTGAGTCGGTCTCACAGTTCTTTTCTGATTCGGGTGTTTTTAATTGTTCTTGCGGTTCTTCACTCGAGGATCGACCTCGTTTTGGACTTCTTAGATCATCACTTGAAGAAGCCTCAGGCTTATCAATGTCTTCAGTGGTTGATCGGCTTCTTTTGCCATTTGACAGTGGTGTGGATGCAGGTGTTGCAGGTGTAAGAGCTCTTTTAATCAACGGCGCTTGAGGTAAGTCCTTCCATTTCTTTTCAAGTAAAGCAATTAGTCGTCGAATTTCCGGGTGTTTCCTGGCTTTGACAATGTCTTCAAACGTTCGTTCGATATTGGCAACGACAACTGGCGCTCGATTTGTTACAGGTATTCTACACAGCACCTTTAACAATCTTACAATGTCATCGTTTTCAAAACCTTCGCTGATAAAATGCTGTAGATATCTTCTTATCATCGATAGACCATTGCGATTGACGAATTCTTTCCATACTTCGGTTACTGTGCAGATTTCCATTCTTCGCAATTGGCGACGGAAGATTTTAGGTTCTTTCGAAAGAGTTAATTGGAGAACAGCCAGAAAGTATGGCACGCGGTCAGCCTTCTTCATTTCATGGGGTTCTTCTTCTAGGACCAGTTCTGAATCGTCCTTGCCCAAGAAAAGTCGACAATTGTCTTCACCACAATAGCATCTCTGTGCAGTTGTACTACAAAATGTATATTATTTAGAAATCAATGACAAATGTCAATATTGTTGTGATGATCGAGGGAGAGAGAGAATGGGAAGACGTTGAGAAAAAAATTTATTTATTTTTATTTTTTTGCGACTTACCCCGAGCGCTCAGCACTGTAGTCAAAAGTTACTTCCTCGTCAGGTAATATCTGCCTATCAGCAAAAATACCTAACCGTAGTTGGCGCCCAACAATCCATTTATCTACACGAGCATTCGGTTTGCAGGAATGATTTATAAATCTTGCTAAACCGCCGTACTCGGTTGCATCAACCACCTTGAAAAAGAAAAAAAAAAGTGATGAATTCCTCAAACAAATCGTAATAATAGACAATAAATGTCACATATCTAGTAAAGAAAAAATTTTTACCTCGCCTTTCTGCAAGTCCATGAAATAAAAGTGTGTTCGTCCCTCCTGCCTGTATGCAGTTTTCCTTTTCTCTGCCATTTCGTCTGACATCACTTCGCCTACGTACTCCAGAATGAATCCATCCCTTAATGGATATAAAATAAAGGGATAAACGTATATCTGTTTAAGGTTCCGATATCCGCTTTTACTGGCGTTCTTCATATTATCATGATATATATGTACCTTGGAATGACTTGTTTTGCGCGTACGCCATATCCCTTCTTTTCTGTGCATATGAGATCCACCTCTGCGTACGAGCGTTGCTTAAAGCTATAGACAATCAAGGACGTTATGGATGTATTAGTCGTCTGCAGGTATACGTAAAAAGACTTTTTGATTTTTTCAGAGCAGATATCAAAGAATACATTACGTACCGCCTATTTTGACAAGCATCTCCGCAGGGACACTCGCCTTCGTTACATTCTACGTAGAGAAAGCGATTTATGCAGTCACTTCCTGCACCACAAGCAACCGAGGGCTCGTCTACTCCTGTTATGAGTTATTGCAAGAAACGAGTAATTTGAGTCAGGCACGGCGGTCAATCTACTTTTTTTTTTTTTTCGCTCTTATATGCTGGCAATACGTAGATGAACGTCCAGAGAAGAAAGTTTTACGATCACGTAAGCGTACCAGAAGAATATGAGCAATCGCATCGGGTGGCCTCATCAGCTCTGGCCAGCCCAAGATGTTTTTCCTTGTGTATGTTTTCTGTTATGTGTCGGTATGTCTTCTTGGCCTCTTCTATCACATTTGGATAGTCCTTGTAGAGTTTGCGTTGTGTTTGTGGGGGCATTGTCGATAATATTAAAGAGAGATGTTATTTCTTATCGACAATTATAATAGGCCTAGCTTCCACAGAGACTGATAGGCTATTAAATAATGACACGATGGCTCAACGCAGGACGAGACGAACAGTTAATTATGGAATCGATCAATGTCGGGGGGTAAATGTGAACAAAATATTATAGACTGATGTGGGGTGAGTGGAGTTTTTGGGGGCCGTTTTATTGAAACGAGATGCAATGTGGAGTTTGTACCACGCGTGGTTTACTCGACGAAAGGTTAAAATAAAAATAGCCGTGATTATAGCGAGGTGCAATAAAATATGACAAAACGCACTTTAAATGGAAAGACGTAATAATTTCTCAATGTCGGTTTGGGGATATCTGTGAATATGTTTGAAGAATGTGATGAACGGAAAATGGTCATTTGCCAGATTGCATGACAACGATTTCCATTAATGGTGTATGTTTAATAGATTGTGATACAACTCTAACATCGTATTCGTCGGTTGGATGTTGCAGTAACAGATGATGCGCGTCAATGTGAGTGTCGGACGACAGTGAGCGATGAATGAAACAAGTCAATGCATCTAGCATACAGTGTCTCTTTGGCGCCGCTCTGTCACTGTAAGGCGATTAATAAGTAAACGGCCAAAACGTGTATTACTAATACTTCCGATTACTCGTTATCGTGATGATTGATAAACAAATATGAATATATGCGCAGCATCGGTATTTTATCTGATAGTCACATTACAAATTTAAAATCGTCATTTTGTCGTCACTGTTACCAATCTTGGTGACGATCATCTACTCAGATCGGGTCATTGTTGTGGCTCAGCAATATTCTCCTCCTATAGTATGGAACCTACTTCGGGTATAAACAATTAACGCCACAAATAGGTCATGTGACAAGTAATTTTGCACCACATTCAGTAAAGCTTGAATAGGACGGAGTAAAAAGTCCTAACAATGACTTGTGCACTATTATCCGATTCGTTTGTTCTGATTCGGTATTTATATTATGCATCATATTATACAATAAACGCTATTACTATATAGTCTGTGGCACTTTTACAGGTTTTGACATGAAACAATGGCAGAGGTCACATTGTACAGTTTGTTAATGAGAAAAGCAAGAGTCTACATTCGCTTCTCTCAATGGCTATTGTCTACTTTACTCGGTTAAGAACGTTTGCTGGGCAGTTTTTATTTACGCCATTTCCCTGAGGGGTTTGTTTAATTAAAGCGGTAAATGACAATTGGCATAGTCATGTTAGCAAAACCAGTCACACGGTGCCAAGTCGAAAAATAATCCACTTTCTAAGTATGCCGAGTTTTGCGTGGTCACACATTGCGCAGTGAACACTTATTACTTTTTTCTCTACGTCGTTAATCGAATTTCCAATAACTATTACTATCGCGAGGAACTTTTATTCACAACAAGGTTCAAGGTTTCCACAATAAGAAATTTTTATTGTTATAAGCAAGTCACGTGAAATCTTCATTTGACGTCAACAAACCCGTGATTAGCTTAATTAGGACCCCGCGGTAAATGTCAACAAGAAAGTTCGGAAATGTTAGTACAATCAAGTAACTATTTAAATTTTACAATAGAATTAGCAAGAGGTATAAATATTACATTAAAATTTTCTTTTTATTTAACTTTTGTGCAAAATAAACAAGCTTTGGTTTTGTCCAAGGGCATTGATTGTGCAACAAATAATGTAGTATTTTTTAAATAGTTTACTTAATATTGGGAAATTTTCTTAGTAAAGATGTCTTACAAATGGCCTACGGTTATACTTATTCACTTACTAAGTTTCAAATTTAAACAAATTGTAAATATTATGTATCACTCGTCACTTTTTTAGAACATAAACGAGTGCTGTCAAGCAGATTAACGTAATTTTTTCTGGCAAAACCATTTAGATATGCAAGATAATGGACAAGACAGTAAGCGCAATAAATTTATTATACTACTAACGTTTTATTTTATCAATGCCACTAAATTGATTAACGTTATCAGAAATAGAATATCATTTTTCAACTACAAACTGTCCTGATGTGCATACTGTTCTACATTGTTTTGGACAACTGCCATAACTTTTTAAAATTGGACAAGTCCTGTCCTGTTATTTCAAACCTGAAAAGCAAAACAAACGTTTAAATTTGTTTGACAGTTCAAAAAACTATCACAATTGTTACATTAAAATATATATATATAACCGCAAAATGTACACGTTCGAAAAGCCTTTTATTTTTATTCGCATCACTCAGATTTATGAATCTGTCGCACTCATTAGGAGTTGCTCTAATTTTTCTTTCTTTCTTTTTTAGGTAGTTAGAATAGCCCTCCTTTTTGACTTTATCATATGTAAATACTATTCGTTGATTCAAAAAACAGCTCTAGCGGTCCACCGTAGCTGTGCCAATAAAGGACCACGAAATTAGATTTATGAATCTTTTTTTTTTTTTCATTACACATGACACATTAATCTTCTTTGGCTAAATTAAATTTGCCAATTACTGAAAAAATATTAACGTTAAACCGTCTTTTACCCTGAAACAAAACGCAAATATTAAAAAAATTCACTAATCTCTGCAGTAAGTTATTTGCTTGTATTCGCCTAGCATGTTTGTAAAGGAACCCCTAAACTCAAACCAACTTGGCAACTCGCACAGATTTATAGTTTAATACAGCTAGAAAATCGATATTTTTAACTCGTTCTGCAACTTTTTCGTTACGCCTAGAAACTTTCCTGCTTCTATCTATTACTATAGCAATAGTACTTTTGAACTTGTTTCAGGTAATTTTTTGATGATACAGTTAGGAGAAATGTTGTACATTGGAGGCTCCATTTTTATGCAAAGATTTATAATCTAATATACTCTGTCTTAAATAGCGTAGATAAAGTTTTGGAGTAAAAGACGGAGCTTGTCAGAAATTGACGGTCCATAATAACGTAAGCTTTTCAGAATAAACTTTTATTTTTTTGCAGAATACAGCAAGTCATCAAATATTCAAACAACAAATTACATTATTCACTATATTAATATTACTTCCTCGATTAGTTAAGTTATCGTTACATTTAACATCGATGAATGCAATTACAATAAAATTAAAAATAAACTACACTAAGATTTGTTTGTCTAATTAATCAATCACCGTTGACCTACCCTTAATCAATGCTCCTATTAATAATATTATTTTACGTCAAGGTCTACTTAATATTAAGCTTTCTTGTTGACTTACAATTTTAATGCAGAATAAGATAGCATGGCATTGCAGTTAAGCAGTTGGAATGCAATATGTGTAATGTCTTTATTACTAATTACACTAAAGAGCAATGGAATTGATGTCAATTTTTGCCAATATAGACGTTTGCTAATCTTCTTTCTTGTAAAGTAAAACCATTTTAGAAATGTTAAACATAAGATTCTAGTTCTGATTAGTCATAGTTTGCAATATGTGTGAACTAATTGGTGATTTAAACCGAAATCCAAGTGAGGCAGTGATAAGAGCAGTTAAAGATTACTTTTGGTTTTACCCTTATGCCTTAAAACACTTAGAAGACAAAGAGTTCAAAAGCAGTTTTTATTCGTCTTATTTACTTGCATAAGAATGCACTTGATTGATACATAAAAGCTGATAAAGAAGTTAAAGGTTTACAATCCTTAACAACCAGTTTAGAGAAAGAGAGAAATGAATTGCTTGAAATAAATAAACAGTTAGAAGCAAAGCAAGAAGAGCAAGCAAATAGGATAGAAGCATTAAATGATAAAGTATTAATGGAGTGAGAAGAGGCAGAGAAAGCCTTAGAAGTAAGTAGATTAAAAAGATGAGAACCCAAAGTTAGTTTGTTTACAGAGACTATCAAAGCAAAAGAAGATGAGTTGAAAGAAGCTTCTGAAAGGATAAAACTACTAGAAAATTTCGTGGCATGACAAAACTATGTGGCATATAAACAACTTCAAAAATTACCAGTCTTACCAAAAAAAACTAATAAATTTAAACTGTTGGGTAGTAAGATAAAGAGTAAAGTGAACCAAACTAAGGAAGTAGTTAAGGAGAAATTTAATGCTTACATCTTACAAAAGAGTAAATAACATAAAATTAGAATATCAAATCAGTCAGTTGGGAAGGGGAGACAGTTGGCACTGTAATTTCCGTTCTTTTGAGAGTAATAAAAACTTGATTGCCACTCACAAAATGATAGCCTACAATACCAAAACTAGTGGCTATAATGATATGGCCTATATTTGTGTTGAATGTAAAGGAGATCTTGATAATGGCACCTTGCCACATTGTAATGATTGTGGTCGAGCTATGAGAAACAGGGTAAGTTGCTTTGTGATTTAAGAAAAAATAAACCAGTTATTATTATAGTTAGAACCCTTTCACTAGCTGAGATAATGGGACAAAGTTATGTTGGTAGATTGGAACAACAAAACAAGGATTTAAAACAGCAATTAGACAGTGCCAAGAAAGAAATTGGTTCTCACTTGAAAGATTTAGATGTTTCAAAAGATTGACATGATAAACAAAAGCAAGAATTATTGGATAAAATTCAAAGACTTGAAAGTGAGGTTGAGTTCTTAAGAAAACAGCAGACCCAACATGTTGCTCAAATTGAAGTTAAAGAAAATAAGAGATGACCTTGATTAAAAGTAAAGAAGTAATTGTTTTTTTTTAGAATGCTTCTAATGGTGCTGTAATTTTTGGGTTCCATAGTGGATTTAATGTAAATTAGTTTCATATTAATATTTTTTATATAGAGATAATTGTATATATATTAATCCTGTTATTATTATGGTTTATATTCCTCACATTCTGATATGATAAAAAAAACATTAAAATTAACAAGTCATAAGTTATAAATAAGCACTGTTATTACTTTTCAAAACGTCATAAGTATTAGTCAAATTAGTTAACTTTTAGCCACACAAGCCTCTTATTTCAGAATGTTCACTTTGTCTGGTTTTGTTGCAGTTTGCCCCATATAACTATAACATGATAACTTCTTATGCATTACTATTAAGTAATATTAATGGTTTGTTTTCTTAAAACACTAAAAAAATAATCAATCTGTTTTTAAAGCAAGAAAAAATCAATTCTGCCAATTACCAAATCTCTGAAATAACAGCTTCTTTTTTCTATAAAATTTTATTTTTATAAGTTTGCCCTAACTCACCCCTTACCTTACTTACCAAATAGTTATATCTGTTTTCCTTCGCAATGTTTTCTTCTTCTCCTAATGATCTCTAAAAGGCGCAAAAACTTTGATCACAGAAATCAACAATACGCGGCATAAGCATACAAGTTGGCTTGACAAAACTCTTTACAAAAACCAGAACAATTGTTTGTTGTACAATAGCTCCAACTTTAAGTTTTATTAAAACTTTGTGAGGTATCATACAGAAACACAAATTAATATGCCAAGACATTACAACAATGTATAAACGTAATTTTAAATAACCCTTCACTTAAACTGGCATTCAACAAGTCATACATTTAATAATAATAAACTAAACACGCGCACTTGTGGTTGAAAAAAGTTTTTCTCATTAAACTTGTTTCAAATAAAACTGTATTTTTTTAACTTTCCAAATTACGTTTTAATTAAGATTTGCATCTTTACTATTTCTTAATAAACTAAATTCGCTAGCAAATAAATTAAATTATCTTTCTTGTGTAATTGCGGAAACAAAATCTTGCAAGAAAATTGTACGGTATAGTATCGTACAATAGCGTGAGTTTATATCCTCGAAAATTCCTACTTGAAATGGATGCACCGATAAAATTGCTCTCTAAAACTAATAATAAAATAAAAAATCTTACTCGGTCATATTGAGTGTAAAAGGTCCGCAGTTGTACCACCTGGACTGAGATGCGTACGACCTGCGAACAATGACTAATATTAATTATGACGTACATAGTACCACAAAGAATATTCGTGACACATATGCTAGCAGTTTCGGCTATAGATCAATCGCGTACCAAATTATGACATGCATTTTAATAATGAGGCATTAAGAGCGTAATTTTTAGCCAAACTCTGTGTGAGTGTGTTCAACTACAGGGAGTACCAAAAAGTTTGTGAATTTTTTTTTTCCGTTACACTAAAGTTAGGCTGAAACACATTCTCTCAATCGTTTATTGCATGTTCAAAATAAAAATTTTAACTATACAAAGTATACATTAAATGGAACAGTATCATTTCAGTATTTAGTTGGACCTCCATTTGCTTCGATTACTGCTTTACAACGTCGGGGCAAGCTTTCGATAAGATTGCGGTAAATTTCGGTCGGAATTTCTTTCCAAGCCTCCTGCACGTAAGTATTAAGCTGTCGGAGATTAGAGGGTGCTGGTTTTCGTGCGCGTATTCTCCGTTCAACTTCATCCCAGAGATGCTCTATTGGGTTTAGATCTGGACTGGAAGCAGGCCATGGAAGTCTTCGAATTTGATGAACGTTTTTGTATGGCATGGTGCATTATCTTCTTGGAAATAGTAGTCATTATTTGGATAAAGATTCTCAATGGCCGGAATAGCATGTTCTTGAAGAATTTTAATATACATTGATGCATTAACATAGCCATTAATTGCAGTAAGTGGTCCCAAATCATGCCAACTAAAACAACCCCAAACCATTTGACTTTGACTATGTTTTACTACAGGCATGATACACTCTGCATCATATTTCTCTTTGGGTGTACGCCACACATATTGTTTTCCAGTTGTTTTAAAAACAGTGAATGTTGATTCATCAGAGAAGAGAACCTTTTTCCAGTCCGCTATTGTCCAATTCTGACGTTCCTTTGCCCAATCGAGTCTTTTTTTTGGTTAGTTAATGAGATCAATGGTTTACGACACATAATGCGTGAATGATACCCCAAATTGTAAATAGCTTCACGGAATGTATTCATACAGACTTTTTTCCCACCATTTTCAATCCATTGTGAGTGCAATTGCTCCGCTGAAAGAGTTCTTAATTGTCCGCTTTATAGCACGGAGGTTGCGCTTATTCATTTTTTTCAGTGCTCCTGTTCTTGGTCTAACACTTGTTTCATTTGTACTATACTTTTATACTGTTTAATAATATTAGAAACCACAGTCTCGCTACATCCGACGACTTGAGCAATAACTTTTTGCTTGACTCCAGCCTTCCAACAGTAAATTACACCACCTCTTTGAAACTCAGTTAATTCTGGACCGCGAGTCATAATCTCTCTATTTAATTATGTGGTTTATGCAAATTTTATTTAAAAAATTCAAAGCAAACGCGCTAAATGCATTCCTTAGTTAATGGGTCATGCCCATATCAAATTTGGTAAGAACAGCATGCCTTCATACGGTTTTGTATATGATCAAACTTTTTGTGTTTATTCAGATTTAGGGCGATCACATGAAAAATTCACAAACTTTTTGGTACCAACTGTACCTTCGATTTCTTTATTACTATAAATGTTTTTAATTAACGACATTATTAATTCGTTCCCTGGTAAATCATTGGTATAACTGTGAAAACTGCTAATCCTTATATCGATTATGAATGATTACTTCTTGTCCCATAGACACTCTCGTTTATGACAAGAATATACGTTTGAATACATACAAGTATACCCAATCATATAAGCTTCTGATTAATTCCATCGGAAGGATTAAGTCGAGGACGAATAGCCAGCCTACTGTTGTGTCTATGGGTCGAGACCGGGGATCGTGGGTAGTAAAAGGCCTAGTCATGGGTCACTAACTGTTACGATATCTAACTGAGGGTAAAAGAAGCCACAGCTCCCGCCTGAAAGATAGTTGAATCCCAAGAGTTTAACGATAGATTGCTTTCCCGTGATTTTCTGACTTGACACCATCGTACCAATAATAGGTAACGTATTAAACCAGCTTTACTGCACAAGCTGATTATGTGAAGTCATTAAGGACATCCACCTGAATGCAAATAAGCTTTTTCATGTAAATGTTACCGTCATATATACACGATCAAACTCTGTCTGACTAACAAGCATGCCTGTTATTTCTTCAAGGCATATCGAAAGAAAATAAAAGGTCAACATTCAGTGATATTATTTTTCAACAAGACATACGGAAGAAAATAAAAAAGGTCAACATTCAGTGATATTGTTTTTCTTTTCCAAGAAATACGTATTGTGTCCTTACGTATGAAATTTACTCTCAACTGCTCCATGCATGTTATCACCAATATAAGGTCAACTTAAACAACATAGAAATAGAAAGTAAGTAACAACAGTATTTTATGTAGACATACTCGAGACCCTGTCAAGAGAGGAACAACAGTCTTAAGATAATGACCCAAACATACCAACCGCCTCGCTAAAACTTTGAAGTAGCGACTTTGAGAAATGAAAATGACAGTGATTTGTCAGATGATGTTTTACAATCTAACCCCTTATAATAGTGATGAGCAGATTTCAATTGTTGAACACAAGGTTGTCAGCTTTATTAATAGATGTTTATTACCATAATTTGCTCAAGCCAAGACTTTTTGCTTTTTTCACCAGATATTTCGATTAATCCAATCAGCGACGTGCAAAGAAGCAAATTAAATCTCTCTCCCCCTGAAATCTTTTGCCAAGCATTTCTTGGCTCTTTTATGGATCCACAATCTACAGAATCGTATTCTTCTACATTACAGATTAAAATTTCCCACTCGGGCAAAATCAACTCGTATGTATCGCATGGATTAGAAACTCTCAAGGTAAGCTGCAGGTTTATGCCTTATCGTTTATCTATTCCTATGCCAAGACTTGTGCATCCCCATTTTTCCTCTTTCCACCCCCCCCCCCACCCCGCTGTTCGTTGTCCGCAAATGACGTTGAATCACAGCATACTGAATCACCGCATAGTTACCTTACGCTCATTGGAGAAGGCAAAGGCGTAACAAAGACAATAACAGTTGCAGAAATAATCAAAAGAAAGGTGGAACGTATCTATCAGTATAATGAGATTGGGAATGCAGCCGAGGACAATGTTGGAACCAAATCCGGAATGTACATGAAAATCTATTTAAGCCTAACGCCGGTCAAAGAACTAGAAATGGCTTTTGGGTATGTATAAATTTAGGCACGTTTATTGTCCGCAGGAAACTGGGATATTAAAAAAACCGCCATTAAATTAATACTAATACTTTTAGCTGCCAGTCGCCGTCATCGCCTGATACACAAAAATCAGTAACGTGAATTTTACCACAGTCGAATTATTTATAGATAGACTTTATGTAAATGAACGAACTGTCAGACCAAAACAAATAAAAAAGCCAGCCTACTGATAACAATACGGTTGTTTCATGAGTATATGTCATGTGTGTTACCCACTCAAAAAAGGCAACAAGATTTATTGGATTATACAGTGGCTGAACATAATAAGAATAAGGTTAGTCAAATGACTAAAATGTTGAGAGCAGGAAGTTGAACATGAAAGCCATAATCGAGCTAGCCTATAAATTAAATATATGCATGATCAGTGCCCTTCCCCTTAAATATGGATAGTCTGTTCACTCAATTCCTGTAAACCATACTCACCCCATGCAGTTTCCCATAGACTCCAACTACTATTCAAAAGCATTCCAAGGTCTCTCCTTTATAACAGCCAAGTTGTACGTTTTGGGGCTGTTACCTGTTCTGAGTTGTGTCTTCAAACCTCGCAGAACAATAAATAACCTTACCAAGCGACATTCAAGCGGGTTGGACTGGAACAAGACCGTTACTATACTGAAACTATGTTGGATATGTGCGATAGTGTTTGGAGAGGTGTTTATATTTCATATGGCGGTTTGGGATTGTGGCTGGCCGGAAATTAGCGAATGGGTAAGTGTATATTAATATTGAGGAACGAGACTTGAAAGAAAGTGCAGGGTAGATAACCTTTGAGTTTTTTACTACACGTAGAATACAAACATAGCAAAGCCATTCCATATGGCGGTAATCACGGATCCACAGTTGATCGACGAGAGCTCTTACCAAAGAGCTCGTGTCTTGACGTTGATTACGGAATTTTATTCAGACAACTATATGCGCAAAAATTGGAGGAACCTTCTTCATTATTATAATTCAGACGCAATAATGATACTTGGAGACTTGTTGGACAGCGGGCGTGAATTGGACGACATGAGGTGTTGTATGAAACCATATGGACGATCATGCACATGTGTTGTGATGAGCCTTGGTTGTACTTACATTTACTCGTGTGATCTCTCCAATCAGATGGTCGGAAGAATACATTCGCTTCCAAAATCTTTTCCGAATGGAGGAAAAATCACGTGTTCCTGTTTATTACGCGGTTGGAAATCATGACATTGGTATCGGAGATACGGTTGTTTCGGCCGCTAACAAACGATTTCGGCAAGCGTATGGAAAGGTGAACTATGAACTCTCGCTCGGTAACCATACTATCGTCGTGCTGGATTCGTTGTCGTTGAGTGCTACAATCGAGGAGATAAGCAGGGAATCGAGGAAATTCGTAAAAGGGTTCGAGAACAAAACAGGTAAAAAAAATTATATATACGTAAACCACATTTTAATTGAATAATTATTAACAAGTCACCCCCATCCTGTTTCATGTTTCCCGATTTTCGATAGATCCCATAAATTCACCGCGCATATTAATGACTCATGTCCCCCTTTTTCGTGGACTGTCTACTGCCGACTGTGGTCCACTTCGTCAGAATGGTAACATGATACCTTATTTGTATGGTTATCAATATCAAGCACAGTTGTATCCACAACTGACTGAAATGATACTGGACAGTATCAAACCCGTACTGACCCTTTCTGGTGACGATCACGATTTTTGTCAAGTCTATCATGAAAAGGGAGGGAGCAATGGCGAAGGATCGTTTGAAGTTACAGTGCCGACGTATAGTTTTACAATGGTAAGAATGTCGGTCGGAAACCCGTCTTTTTGTTCTGGCTGTTGTTCGTTTCTGACAGTCTTTGGATTTATTTGTAGGGTGTAAGAAAACCTGCTTTTCTCCTGTTGAGCTTGTATAATCCTCCTAATTCACCATCCAATGCTACATTTGCATACAATCTTTGCTTCCTACCCGATCAATTACAAATATTCATGTTCTATAGCGTTTTACTGTTATTTTCTCTTATCATCCTTTTTGCATGCGCTTATTCTCACATGCGTACAAAAATAGCCATATTGCCACCATTATCCAAAGAGACTGTCACTAATAGTATCGTAACATCATTTCCTTATTGGCACCTCGTGGGATCTGGTATCTTGCGTATTGGTGCATATGCAATATCGGCTTATGTATTTTGTTTGATTTTGTCTCTTTTGCAAATATAATTCTGCCGCACGGCGATCTATAAATTCAGCTGCCACCCACGAATGGCAACACATTATAGATTTCATGCTTGACAGCGCATATGCGATTTGCCTTTTGTTTATTGCCCATGTGTTTGTATAACCCCTATACATTTACCAGACATTGTAGTTCTGGGATAATCCGAACACAAATTGGGCCGTTTGTGTAAGTCTTACTTCATATACAGTAGCCTTTTCTTTGTGACATACACTCACTGGACAAAAGTCTACGTAATTTTTGTCGATCACATAGTAAAACATATGAAAAATCTATTTTTTC